TCACAATCTCATAAAAATGCCAACTTTTTCACCATTAGTCCCACATTTGCATGTCCAATGTCTCTCCACGTGACCAAATGAGGACGGTCTAATTAGCATTTTTTTTTTCTCAATGGTCTAGGATGTTCAAGTTAACTTTCATACATTTCGATTAATTTTTTATTTCAATCTGATTAAAGATAGATCATTTACACCTGAACTAAGATATTTATAAGTGTTAAATTTCTTACAACTTGACTTAAAGAATTGCAAAAATTTGAATTCAGAATGTCTGAATTTACAACTCGCTCATATTACTACTTGAACTATTTCTTGAGATTGGTTTAATTAGTATTGTAGTGTCAATTTCGTTTAGCATTTGTATTGTATTATGCTCCGTTTAGTACGATAGAAAAATGGGAGGATGAAAAGTTGGAGGAATAAATAAAATAATCATGTTTGATAAGCAAAAAAAGGAGAAATGATAGAAAAGTAGATAAATTAACTTTCTTTCCAACTCACCAAAATGAATCCCTTCAAAATCGGAAGGAAAGTAGATAGAAAGTTAATTTTTTGTGTTGAGATGTATCTTATTTGTTATATATACATATATTATGTATACATTAATTTCATATAAAAATACAATGATAAAATGTATACATTAATGATAAAATTTTCGACTCAATACGATGACACGACTTGAACTCGACATGAAAATAAATAGGCTAACTCGCAATTCGACATGACTCAATTAGTTAAATGAGTCAAGTTAGGTTGACTAATATTCGACACAAACCCGTAATGACTCAACACGAATCTGATACGACACGACTCGATTGTCATCCCTAATCTTATCCAGCACAAAAAAAAAAATAGTTATTTTTATTTTTCATCCATCTAACCAAACACAAAGGAAGGAAAGTGTATCCTTCCTACTTTTCATCCTTGAATGATAGTTAGTATATCACTCTTACTTTCCATCCTCCCTACCAAACGGAACATTAATGTTTCATTTATATTTAACAAGTGCATTTACTTATCAACTGAACCTTGATAAAATAAAAAGTAATGTTATTAGGACTTAATTTATTGACATAATTTATTGATCTAATTCACTGTGATCATTGAATTCACTATAGACCCTATCAAACATCAGAACTTGATATTGATCCAATAATTCATATGAAATCACGCCGTTATGTCTAATTATTAAATTTAAATAATATTACTCTAAAACAAAACTCAAACTACTCTTATGTTGTCCAACGGTTACGTTTAAGGAAGTAAAAAATCATAGTTAATGCATAAAACTCCCATTTATAACATATACAAATACAATAATCGCTTCTTAGGAGAAGTGAGTGTTCAATTGTTTATGAACTCAAACCCACAACGTGCTTGCTGGCTGGCTGGCTAAGCACTTAGAAAATGGTGTTCTAAGTGCTCGCTGGCTGGGAGCTATATAAGCGGTAACGTTCACGTATGGTTCTATGACATAAATGACCTTGTTGTATCTCACTCTCATCTTCAATGGGATTTATTTTTTGTAATATTTTGGAAGAGTATGCCAATATGATCTTAATAAGGTACGGAGCTTTGCATCTGATATTTGTTGGGCTTCCTTCTTCGGAGCCTGCGTCCTAGCGGTTTTTTGCAATAAACCCCTCCGACCAAAAACTAATGGTATGTGGTCCCACAAAATTTTCGGAAAAGAGTAGTCTAGTATTTAAGCACAACTTTATAAATTGTGGCGAATCCTCAAATGACCTATCTAAGATTAAAGGGGAAGTCCTCAGTAGTGGTGACCCTTTCACTCTTCCACGGACCGACACTAATTCACTTAAGGGCGTGTTTGTTTGGTGGGAAAATTGGGATATACATATTAGATTAGCTAAAATCATCCCCGATATATCGAGTTTGGATATGGGAAAATCCATTCGGATTTATGTTAGATCCGAATTGTAAAATATTTTTTTTACCCGACAAATGTGGGTTTAATAACATGGACAATGGAATAAAAAAAAAAATGGCCCCAAAAGAAACTAATCGGATAAGCTGGCCGCTATAGAGGCTTTGAAGACCACTTATTTATATGGGATAGTTATTGAATTACATGGATAGAAAATTACTAATTTATAATGATGTGTTTTCACCATTACAATCAATATTTTCTCAACAACCTCAATACCTCTGTTGTTGGATTTGTCTTGGAACGTNTTAGGTAATTACTAATTTATAATGATGTGTTTTCCATTATAATCAATATTTTCTCAACAACCTCAATACCTCTGTTGTTGGATTTGTCTTGGAACGTGAACGTGCATCCAAAATTTGCTCACTCATAAAAAAATCAAATTCCTTGTCATTAAAAAAAAAAGTAGTAAAAATTGTGTTCTTAAAAAAATTGATGCCTCGTCAAATTTTCATTGATGAGTTAAATTCATGAAGTGTGTCTGCATAATAACAATACTAAAGGGTTTTTGGTTCATATTTTACAGTCAGCATAAACTGGTATGGTATGGGTGTTCACCTTTCTTTATGGGTAGGAAATATAATCTTTCGTCTCTCAATCCGATATTTTGTGAAAATTTTTTTTCTTGACCTACCCTACTCGAACAGGTGTGGTATTTCTACCCGATTAATTGGGTAGAAAGTCGGGTAAACACTTTCGTAACTATTAATATTTGAATCATTTTAACAATTCAATTAAATAACATGCACTAATTTAATAACACAATAAATTAATNGCCTTTCTTTATGGGTAGGAAATATAATCTTGCGTCTCTCAACCCGATATTTTGTGAAAGAATTTTTTTTTTACCTATCCTACTCGAACAGGTGTGGTATTCCTAACCGATTTCCTACCCGATTAATTGGGTAGGAAGTCGGGTAAACACTTTCGTAACTATTAATATTTGGATCATTTTAACAATTCAATTAAATAACATGCACTAATTTAATAACACAATAAATTAATAACACTAAAACCTAAAACAACTACTACAACAACAATTACAATAAATCACAAGAAAGCATGAACATCAATCCATCTTAATTGTTAAATAAATACAATAACAATTATTTTAAGTTTAAATTATATGAAACACATTAAAATCATAACTGTTCTAATAGATCACCAGTTCACCACAAATCATGTAACCTACACAAAAAAAAAGTATATATATGTTTTAACAACTCAAACATCCACAACAATAACAATGCTATAATATAAATTATACCACACAAATACACTTATAATTACTAAAAAAATATAAAAAGTTAAATATANTTAATAGATCACCAGTTCACCACAAATCACGTAACCTACACAAAAAATAAGTATATATATGTTTTAACAACTCAAACATCCACAACAATAACAATGCTATAATATAAATTATACCACACAAATACACTTATAATTACTAAAAAAATATAAAAAGTTAAATATATTTTTTTGTGGATAGGGTATGGTAGAAATGTCAAAATTGATGGGTATTCCGTATTTTCTACCCGATTTAATCGGAAGATTAAAAATTTTTCTGTATACCTACCCAATTTTTGCAGCTAATAGTTCAATAAGGTAAGATAGGATAAAAAATTGTGGTCAATCGAAAATTTAAACACCCTATAAATTGGTAGTATTACATTTAACAAAGGAGACGTCTACTTGAGAAATCAGCGTTTTTGTGGGTGATTTTAAATTTTTTACTAAACACCTAGATCTTAGATTTTTATACAAATCAAGTAATACAAATCTGTGGGATATTTTAAATTTTTTACTAAACACCTAGATTTTAAATTATTATACAAATCAAATAATAGGACAATTTATTGGGTGACAGAAATAACGTTGTCCAATTCTCATGCTGTGAATCGAGTCAGTTGCCCCCTATTGAGTTTAAGGTTTCATTTTTCTTTGATAGTAACCAACATTTTCTTACTTAAATAAATTTACAAACTATTTGCTCAAAAAAAAAAACAAGTAACAAAAGAGGTGAAATTACTCCATTTTATTGGACCATCTTTACTAATAAACGGACTTCTAATAAAGATGAACTTTTGAGTTTTACATCAACAAAATTTCTTCTATTGGGGTTGGGGTGCGGGTGGATGAATAAAATAAACATTCTACACGAGTACAAATTATTTTTGTGACAACCTTTCATTAAGTATGCATGAAACCCGACCTTTGAAGGAGTGCATGAAAAAAAGAAGGTTCTTCTTTGAAGAAATATGATTCTATTTCATTTGACAAATCTCCATTAAGGATGAAAACATAAGATCATTCCCATACATTTACTAAATGAACACCTACTATTTTAAGCCTTTACACAAGGGCACCACCCTTTAAATACTCGGTAAAAACCAAAGCAACCAAACCCAACATAGCAAATCTCCCATTCCATAGCTCTGCATCTGAGGTCATTAGCCCCTCTGACTTAGATTGCACGGTANGATGGGTATTCCGTATTTTCTACCCGATTTAATCGAAAGATCAAAAATTTTTCTGTATACCTACCCGATTTTTGCAGCTAATAGTTCAATAAGGTAAGATAGGATAAAAAATTGTGGTCAATCGAAAATTTAAACACCCCTATAAATTGGTAGTATTACATTTATAGTAAAGTATAGTTATTCATTTTAAGTGACAAAGGAGATGTCTACTTGAGAAATCAGCGTTTTTGTGGGTGATTTTAAATTTTTTACTAAACACCTAGATCTTAGATTTTTATACAAATCAAGTAATACAAATCTGTGGGTGATTTTAAATTTTTTACTAAACACCTAGATTTTAAATTATTATACAAATCAAATAATAGGACAATTTATTGGGTGACAGAAATAACGTTGTCCAATTCTCATGCTGTGAATCGAGTCAGTTGCCCCCTATTGAGTTTAAGGTTTCATTTTTCTTTGATAGTAACCAACATTTTCTTACTTAAATAAATTTACAAACTATTTGCTCAAAAAAAAAAACAAGTAACAAAAGAGGTGAAATTACTCCATTTTATTGGACCATCTTTACTAATAAACGGACTTCTAATAAAGATGAACTTTTGAGTTTTACATCAACAAAATTTCTTCTATTGGGGTTGGGGTGCGGGTGGATGAATAAAATAAACATTCTACACGAGTACAAATTATTTTTGTGACAACCTTTCATTAAGTATGCATGAAACCCGACCTTTGAAGGAGTGCATGAAAAAAAGAAGGTTCTTCTTTGAAGAAATATGATTCTATTTCATTTGACAAATCTCCAATAAGGATGAAAACATAAGATCATTCCCATACATTTACTAAATGAACACCTACTATTTTGAGCCTTTACACAAGGGCACCACCCTTTAAATACTCGGTAAAAACCAAAGCAACCAAACCCAACATAGCAAATCTACCATTCCATAGCTCTGCATCTGAGGTCATTAGCCCCTCTGACTTAGATTGCACGGTAACTCCTTTAAACAGAGGAATTAAAGATGCCAGTGACAGCACAATGCTGGTACCAAGGAACCATGGTACCCCACCGTCCGATAACTGGGTGAACACATCCTGACCACTAGCTAATTCTGCCCCGATCGCAGCAACAAAGCCGATCATCGCCAATCTGCCGTTGATCCTCTCTGGTGCCGGCCCACTGAATGCTAACACATCGGAAAATTTTGTGCTCACCTGTAACATTTAAAAACATGTCAAATAATGATGTAGCACTTATAAACAATGGTCTTATGGCTGATAATGATATGCTTGGATGCTCTTATGGGTGAAAATCCACTAAATATAACCACACAATCCACCAAATTCAGAGAACTTTTCATGGTCAACAACTTTTGGGTACGGGTGATAAACGGTTCGAGCTACTCCAGCTTGTTCACATAGAAAACAAGACATGCTCGAATAATTTTTTAAGTTCATTTAACAATCGAGCCTTATAAGCTCAGCTCCAACTCCAACTCCAATTGGTTTATCACTCAACTTTTGGGGATTTAAACTCAAAATCCACAGATTAAGTGGCAACAACACCAAAAGGGATTATTTCAGATATGGTACATGAATGGAAAACAATATGGATATGATGAAATTTTTGTCCATCTCTATTCATTGATCGAATTCAATCACCACTTTCCAAGGCAATTTACAAGCTTTTAGATCAAAATCAAACAACTTTGTATCAAGAGAAACTTAATATGATCAAGCACAAGTTTTAAATTTCGAATCCCAAATTTTAATCCTCTACAAGAAATTGTAACTTTAATCTCATTTTACTTCTTTGAATTATATTGACCCAAATTTTTCAGTATGATACTCAGATTTATGCTACAAATTTACGCAACTTACCAAATTGTAACTTTAATATCATTAAATCATAATTTTACTTCTTTGAATTAAATCGACCCATATTTTTTTAGTATAGTACCAAGTTTTTGCTGCATATTCACACAACTTACCATACAGTATGAATAAATCAAAAGTCATAAATCAAAGAAAATGACTACTCTGTGTGTGTGTGTGTGTGTTATTAATGAGGTTGTCATCACCTTCGCTGCTGGGGCGGGTTTAGGAGGAGGCGTCAGGGATGGAGCAGTGACAGGGCTTGATTCTTCCTTTTCACCTTTCTGCTAAGCACAACCAAACGATTAGGGTTCTGTTTGGAAACATTTATGACGTCTAGTTTTCCAGAAAAGCTGAAAACAAAAACAATTTTGGTTCTTTATGGGGAAAAAAAAACCCCTCGCTTAGTCCTCGATCCTGTTAGCAAAATCATGTCAAAACAATAACCAGAAAACTTGTTTGATATCCATTCGTTGTAACTATTTAGTTGCATGTTATTTTTTTATTTTGTAACGAGGAATCTCTCCAAACCAGAATCACTTTTGTGACCCATTTCTGTGAATCACAGTTATCAGTTAAACCCGAGAAACATCGGCAACCATTAAACCCCTAACGTATGGGTTTAAGATTCAAAATCCAAGTCCAACACACACCGTCGGAAGCACAAATAAAAATAATACACCTATAATCTACAAAGGCTAAACTGCAATTTTAATGGGTTTGATATGTATTTTTAAAACGATTCCGTTTCTTGGATGACCGCAAGAATGCATCGAAATGATATTTATTTTAAATTTAGAACAACTATCTGCAATTCAGATGGTTAATTTGGAGACCTACCTCGGCCATGGAACGGACTCGGAAGTTGGCATTCCTCTGCAAGCTCGGGACATAGGTTGAAGGAACAAACTGGGAAACCCTAGTTGTACCTGAGACAAGGGTCATTGAGCTTGCAAGGAAGGACTGCATGGCCATTGTTGATGTAATACCCAACTGAGAGGAAGTACAAGAAGCTTGTTGCGGCGGGTTTTTGGTAAATTAACTTAAGGCTCAGCTCTGTGTTGGGCAAAGTAGACGCAATATAAAAGCTCAGAAGGTATCAGAAAAATAGCTATGGAGAGAACTGGTAGGTTGAGATGCACCTTGGAAGGGCTGAGGGGTCTATAAATATAGGCATGACAAATTGACAAGCAATGGGTTGACGCGGTGAAGCTTTAAAAAAATTATTTGTCACATTTATTGAATAAAAAGTAAAAATATAATACCAAAAATTACTTTTAAAACACTGTAATTAGATCTTTTTTTCAATGATTAAATGTGTCTTTGTCAATTTGAGTGCATCTCGACTAATTTTTTTTCTTAGTTTAATAAAAAATAGATCATCTAAATTGAGATTAAGATATACATTAAAGATAAATCACTCATAATTTTACTTAAAAATTATTAAAATTTAAATAAAAAATATCTGAATTATAACTAAACTTTTATCAATATACATATATAATTAATAGATAAAATTGTTTGAATTCACGCTCCTTCAACCACTCTTGTTTTTAAGGGAATATGTTTTTAAACTAATTTATAACTTAATGAACAATTTCAAAGTTTGAGAAAATAATTAGTATTAACTTAAACACTATATAATAAACAAACAAAAAATAGTTCGAATTTGAACTACCAAGAAACTGAAAAAGATTTGTTGTAAGATGCACTCTTTTTTTTGCTGGGTGAGATCCACTTTGAATGTGCAAAAAGTGGTGGATATTTTGAGTTGCACGTTATCGAATTTGGTTGGGCCTACGAAGTATCACTTTATGATGTGAGCTTTCATGTCCACACATGATAGGAGTGAGAGACGTGGCCCATCTTCAACCCAGTCATGACTATGTGGCCAGTAGTGTTCAAGGTTGGTAGAGACTCGAACTTTCTGGTTACAATCTTCATAAAACGCCAAACTTTTCACTATTAGAGCAGCTCTAACGATAAAATCTATTTTAACTACTCAAAAAATAATATTTTTTATTTTAACTACTTATTTTTTTAATACATATTTTTTATATTTTTAAATATTCGTTCCTTTTGTATATTTTTTTAAGAATAGTGAAACGGAAAAAAAAAGAGAATGGAAGANCGGGTTGACGCGGTGAAGCTTTAAAAAATTATTTGTCACATTTATTGAATAAAAAGTAAAAATATAATACCAAAAATTACTTTTAAAACACTATAATTAGATCTTTTTTTCAATGATTAAACGTGTCTTTGTCAATTTGAGTGCATCTCGACTAATTTTTTTCTTAGTTTAATAAAAAATAGATCATCTAAATTGAGATTAAGATATGCATTAAAGATAAATCACTCATAACTTTACTTAAAAATTATTAAAATTTAAATTAAAAATGTCTGAATTATAACTAAACTTTTATCAATAGACATATATAATTAATAGATAAAATTGAGTATATATCAATTTAATTGAGCCTTCTTAATCCGTTTTTGGGTCGAATTTTACATTTTTGATGAATTTAGAAAGTGGGTTAATAATTTAAGTTCCATAAACAGGCTCTTTGGGAGTAAAGATAAGTATGTGTACCTTTGATTTTTTTTAAAATTTATAATAACTTCGTAAATTAGGGTGCATAATAAACTTGAATAAAAGCCTCAAAAAACAAAATTTATTGGGCAACGGAACGAAAACGTCTAAACTAGTTTGAATTCACGCTCCTTCAACCACTTTTGTTTTTAAGGGAATATGTTTTTAAACTAATTTAAAACTTAATGAACAATTTCAAAGTTTGAGAAAATAATTAGTATTAACTTAAACACTATATAATAAACAAACAAAAAATAGTTCGAATTTGAACTACCAAGAAACTGAAAAAGATTTGTTGTAAGATGCACTCTTTTTTTTTGCTGGGTGAGATCCACTTTGAATGTGCAAAAAGTGGTGGATATTTTGAGTTGCACGTTATCGAATTTGGTTGGGCCTACGAAGTACCACTTTATGATGTGAACTTTCATGTCCACACATGATAGGAGTGAGAGACGTGGCCCATCTTCAACCCAGTCACGACTATGTGGCCAGTAGTGTTCAAGGTTGGTAGAGACTCGAACTTTCTGGTTACAGTCTTCATAAAACGCCAAACTTTTCACTATTAGAGCAGCTCTAACGATAAAATCTATTTTAACTACTCAAAAAATAATATTTTTTATTTTAACTACTTATTTTTTTAATACATATTTTTTATATTTTTAAATATTCGTTCCTTTTGTATATTTTTTTAAGAATAGTGAAACGGAAAAAAAAAGAGAATGGAAGAGAAAGAAAATATTATAAATAAATTTTATATATTACTACAGGAATATTTTATATTTAGAATATCACTGTAATAAAAATTTATTTTAAAATATCTGAACATATTCTGTTTGAGTATAATTTTTTATTTTGATTAACTAAACTTTAACTATTTTTGTGTTTTACAGCTGTCTCTCGGAGATGCTCATAGAACTCCCACATTTACATGCCCACCGTCTCTCCACGTGACCAAATGAAGACGGTTTAACCACTATTTTTTTCTTTTAAGTCAGTCTACTTGCATTTCGCATCTCAATTAATCTTTTTTTTTTTTGTCGATTCGATTAAAGATAATTTTTTCACACTACAACTTAGAAATTTATAAAAAATAAATCCTGATTTAAATAATTTTTTCACACTACAACTTAGAAATTTATAAAAAATAAATCATGATATAATTACTATTGTAGCGACGAATTTGTTTCATTAGAATTTAATTTATATTTGATTTATTTATAATTTTTTATGACAAGATATTAGTTAAGTTGTTATCAATTCATCAATTTGATGTGTTTAACGACTTCATCTATTTGTCGATCGAATCCTGAAAAAATAAAATCCAAATCAATCAATTTCATGTCAAACTTGACAGTCGTCTACAATTATAATGAGTTTATGTTTAATAAGTTAAAGCAATCATAGTTATTGTATAAAACTGTCATTCACAACATGTTTCCAACCTTTCTCTTGAATCGAGTTTTCTTCCCTTCAATTCTATTTCTCTTTTGTTTTGTACATCTCTAAAAATAGTGTCACGTAACATCTCTGTTGGTACTAACACACGCAGTTGGAGATGACAATTTTAACTCATTATTTATTAATTCATTCAATTTACCTATAAATAAATAAGTTAAATACCTATATTAATTAACTAGTTATTACATGTATCTGAAGGCGCAGAGTAATAAAAAATGACAAACAATAAACATATTTATATTCATATCTAAAATCAAATCACAAATATAAAAAATAAATAAAATAATTTAAATATCGATTTGTAGTGGGGGTGAGAGATGGTAGGCGGCAATGATGGTGGCGGCGGTGGCGGCGACAGTGGGGGTGGTATTAGAGGTAATGGTGAGACAGTTTCAAACATTATTTTTTAAAAAAAAATATTTATGATAAATAATTTTTAAAAGTACTTTTAAAAAATCACTCAAAACACATTCTTAGGACCCTATTTTTTCTACTAAATTTAAAGTATTAATATTAGTCATTAAATTAACTTTAAAGTAAAATTTAAAGCGATCTCAAGCGCGAATAGAAAAAGTTATTTTATTTATCTTTTGATATTTGAATTGTAAATTATTTTATTATATAAATATGAGTTCTAAATGGATTGAGTAATATAATTCATTTTAATGAAACGAGTTAATATAAATTATAAATGAGTACCCATTGGATTGAATATTTATTTTTTTATTAAATAACACAAGTAATAAAATTAAATAAATATACTAATATATCAAATAACACACACACTATTATACCAAAAAATCCACACATATACACACTAGTACACCAAAAACATACACTAATACATCATCCATGACTCACGGGTTGACTCGTGATTCATGGGTTAATCCATGGGTCAACCCACAACCATGACCCCATGGGTCAACCCATGTCCCATGACCCATAATCCACTGGTCAGCCCACCCATAGCCCACAACCATTATGTGTGTATTTTTTTTTATTAAATGTGTTTTAGGTTTTGTGTTAGTATATATGTGTGTATTTTTGGTGGATTAGTGTGTATTTTAGTGTATTAGTGTGCATATTTTTAGTATATTAATTTGTGTGTTTTGGTGTCTTAATGTGTGTGTGTATGTTTGTATTTTGATGTACTACTAATGTGTGTGTGTGTATATTGTGGTATACTAATGTGTTTATTAAGAATTTTAATTATTTTATGGGTTAGTCGGTTTAATCCAGCACATTATAAACTCAGTCCATTTTAACCCATTTACTGCATGAGTAAAAAATAGATTCGATTTATTTTAGTCAAATCCAATTTAACGCAATTCATAACCAATCCAATCCACTTATTTGCCAACTCTACACGTGACATTTGTGTGGTAAAAATTTCACCCAAGGGCATATTTCTTTGGCGGGAAAAATGGGTATATAGGCTTTGAGATTGGCTAAAATTATCCCGATATATCGAGTTTGGAAAATTACATGCAGAAAAGACCGATAAAAATATTCTATAGGATAAACTTTGAGTTTAACATCAATAAAACTGCTTCTGCCTCTAAAACAAGAGCAAGTGGGGGTGGGGGTGGGGGTGGGTTGGATGAATAGAAAACACATTCTACACGCACGCACACACATAGATATACACATATTTATGTTGAAGTTCATTGTCTTTGCGCAAACATGAAACGCCAAATACATGTAATATGTGATTAGTTGTCAGTTTTGCAATAGAAGATAAGATAATGAACATGGATTGGTTTGATTAGTCATGATCTCCCCATTAATTTTCTGGTGTGTTTGCAAACTTCCAACTGTAGTTAGTACAGAAAGCATGGTCTCTTTCACCACTGACTTCATCGATAGGTACTGAATCAGAAATTTCTTTCAAATCCCCTTGTGTAAGCTTTATTGCCAAGCATCCAATGTTGTTATCAAGGTTCTTAATCTTAGTTGTCCCTGCAAAACATCAAAAGGAAAATTTGAATCATATGATGAAATCACAATTTTACACCATCATCTAAACCTTGTTCAATAAGACATGTCCCATAAGAGCTCTGAAACTTAAAAATGCCAAAACTAGGATCCATACTAGCACGTTGACGTGTTGACCCATGCATTAAGTGATCACACGACGTGTAACTCATGAAAGGATGGGACGATACCGGAAAGTCTATCCAATTCCAATACGATGAAAATACAAAAAACAAAAGTTTTCTGCATAAAGAACGTGATATGTTACCGGGGATTGGGATCACGTCGCCTCCTTGGTGCAGAAGCCATGCTAGAGCTAGTTGAGGGATGGTACAATGATGCTTTGCAGCCAAGTTAGCTACACGGGCGTAGAGGACTTTGTTCTTCTCTATATTCTCCTTTGCGAACTTCGGATGGAGAGTCTATAACACCAAGATTTAGTTTCAAGTATCATATTCAAAATAACAATGACGAGTTGTATTCTCTTTGTACTTATGACTAAAAATAGATCATGCACGTTTTTTATTTCTAGTGACATACCAAAATACTTCCTGTTGGCAAACTCTCCACAACCGCTTTCCCGGCGAAGAACCCACAACCAAGAGGGCTATATGCTACTATTCCAATACCAAGCTTCCTGTAAGCAGTGGGGCATTAAAGTTTTAGAGGTAATTGCATTGAAATGATGACTATTAACACATTTGCAAGATGAATAAGTGTCCATAGAACTCTTGTCAATGGCTCAATCAATTATGTTTGAAGAGATTCTTGAATCCTTGCCTTGAAATAGGTATAAATAAAAGAAGACGGATTGATGTATTAGTGCAATCTTAGCCATTGTCAGAGATCAATCCTCCCCTGATGGATCATTCCTTTTGTTTTTATGGACTCGATGTTAGAGCTAGATAACTGTATACCTGCAGAATGGAATGATATCGTCTTCAATATCACGAGTCCAAAGAGAATACTCCATTTGTACAGCAGTTATGGGATGAATAGCATGGGCTCTCCTTATTGTGTCTACACTTGGTTCAGATATCCCAATGTATTTTATCTTCCCCTCCTCCACCAGCTTCTTGAGCTCTCTCATCTACCTTGCCAAAACACCCAGATATCAGTTTCACTCTGGGAAATTACTAAGTAACTAAACTTGATAGTCCAATAATATAAACTGTGGCTAATGCCTATAGTTTGGAGTGTTAATCGTGTCGTATTCGTGTGGAGTACTAGTCAATTCTAACTTAATCTATTTATGTTAACCTATATAATTGGTGAATACAAAATTTAACACTCGATTTAATTAATCGTGCCGTATCGTGTCATATACGAGTTCGTATTAAGAAATGATCAACACCAACCTACTAATTTTATATCAATTTTAAATCATATTTTCGTGTTATGTTAAAAATTGTCACCCTTACTTACGGTTTTCTCTATTGGCACTGAAGTGTCCACACGATGCTGATAGTACAAATCAATATACTCCACATCTAGCTGCTTAAGACTAGCTTCACAGCATTCCCGCACATATTCAGGAGTACCTTTGACCACCAATTGACCATCCTCTAATTTGGTCAAACCAAATTTCGTCGCTAATTGAATCTTTTGACGAGGAAGCTGCTTCAAAGCCTGAAAACAAAACATGTGCCACGTTGTTACTAGAATTCACTAAACTCTTGACGATCTACAATTTAGGTACATCGATCTTAAATAGGGGTGGGTTCATGATTCAGATTACTAAAATATACGATCTCAATTTATAATATTAATACTAAATTGATGCGCTTCAGAACATGTAGTACAAATATACAATATATATTAATTAATTACGTATACATAAATTTATAATTATATAATGTTTTAGATAATAAAAAAACAAGTACAAACGTAAAATACATAGTAACTGATTAAGTGTTTATAAATATTCTGTAATATGTATAATATTGTATAGTAAAAACAATCTAAATAAGAGTTTCAAAATAAATTGTGACCTAAAACACAGTACTAACTAATAGTATTTTCATTGTCCCACGTATTTGCAAAAATATTATATCGCATACTTATACTTGTACCACATACTAAAACGACCCGCGATTCACCCATCCCTCATTCAAACTTGCACAAGTTCAGAATTCCAATGCTAATACCTTTCCAAGCATGATCTCATTGTGATAGTTTTCTCCATACGAATTGGCCGTGTCAAAGAGGGTAATACCCATATTAAATGCTTCTTTTATAACGCAACATCCATCCTCATGGGAAAGAGGAGCATTGTAAAATCCTGAAAGTCCTGCGCATCCCAAGCCCAACCTAGACACCTGCAGGAAAACAAAGAATACCATTACTACAAAATACTGATATAGTAGTTCCTCGTAGTTTGAAAAACTGTTTACTTGTTTGTTCTTTCTCATGATTCGTGGTCATTATGCTATTTTTAGGGGAGTTGAGAGATTAATCTGCCGTATCAATTCTAATCCTATCTTAATCCGAGGAATTTTTAGGGGAGTTGAGAGATTAATCTGTGGTATCAATTCTAATCCTATCTTAATCCGAGGAATAAATATTGAATGCAATGATAATACCATGTCAACTAATGTGGAATCCCCAACCAACAATAAAACACCAAATGGGTAATAGAAAATCTGTTAGAATAGTTATTTACTTATATAAAGAATGAGTGAGTAATTATTTGTTTACATAAAGGGTTAGTTATTAATTTTAGTGGAGTCTATTTGTTTTGATATTATTAGTTGGTGATATCACATCAGTATTGTCACGTGGTATCATTGTTGTAATGAATATTTTCTCTAACCCGAGTATCACCTAATTCAAGTTCAACAAACACTAATTCTAAATTACGAGTGAACATTTGTATAATGTTAGACTACTACATAAATCTATATGACTCACTAAGATGAAACCAATCATTACAACTTATTTAGGGTGAACATTTATCATCGATAGTCATTATAAATTATGTTTTATTCTCCCTTTAAATAATAATAATTATAAAATACATATTTATATTTAATTTTTAAACTATTTATAATATATAAATATAATACAAGAATTCGAGTGTAACCCAATTTCATCAATTCACGAGCTCTTAACTTGAGTCTTTTCCAAATTCAATTGGAGTTTAAACTTTTTAACTTTAACACTATTTTTTTTTTGGAGCAATTCATCAAATATTGAGGCCATGTTTGGTTAGTTTTTTGGAAACAATTTTTTGTTCTCAAAATTTCAAAAACACTCAAAATCTGTTTATTTAGTATTTTTGTTCTCAAAATTTTGAGAAAAAATGAGGTTTGAGTCAAATAAACAAAAAACAAGGAGAACAATTTTAGACTTTAATGAAGTCTGCCTTTCGAGTCTCCTTAACAGCAAATTTCTTTTTTTTTTTTACTTCTTCCTCTCTCTCATAATATAATATATATTATAATATTTATATATATATATATATATATATATATATATATATATATATATATTT